CTTTCTAGACTAGTTAAATCTATCCTGTTTGGATATTTGTATTCAGTAACAGACTCAGCTGTGCTTGTTGATCTGCATATCTGTCGTAAGAGCTGATCCCTCTTTTTACTCTAATCCAAAACTCAAGTTGGGAGAAGAAAATACACTACAATATGGGGAAACTGTACAACTAGGTTGTAAAACATAGTGGTAGAGTTGGGAAAAATACCCTAAATGCAGAGGCCAATGTTATGCATCAGTGTTGCAAGGGGGAGGGGAAGAGAAGAGGCTGCCAAAGCACTTCCCCTAATCGGAATGCTGTTTCAGCCCCACCACGTGCGCAGGAGGGGGTGAAGTCTTGGCTCCAGCACTCGGGGAACTTTGCCAGTGACTGAAGAGGAGCCAGGACTGTACCTTGCTTGGGGTGATGGGCTTGTATGTACCTACAGAACTTGTCTGTCAAAGTCAAGCTCATTTAGACAACAGTTCACTTAATAGGCACTTGATTTCCTGACTTGTGTACATAGTTATAGAAGTAGGTCATATAAATGTAGCTTCATGTGAAAGACTTTTTCCAGTGAAGTTTCTGAAATAGGTGCTGTTTCTTAAACTAAGAGTTTAAGTACTTGAAATTACATGTGTGATGAGAATCCCTGGTATCTCACATTACTCTAAGCCACATCCAGTTTCTTTGCTACTCAAGTTTCATTTGTATACCTTGACGTTTCAGTCAAAAACTAGATAACTTGTAACTGAACATGCTTCCTGATAACAACAGTTCTTAAGGGCTCTGGCTGTTCATAAACAAAAAATGATGACAAAACTACATCTGCTGTTTCTTGATATTTCCTCTTCTCCAGTATGAATGTTTCTGTAAAATACTGGCCTCAAGATGCTTCAACTTGAAAGCATTTTACAAGACAACTGTTACTGCTTAATGAATGTTTGATTGATATCACTTTTATGTAAGGACTTGCAATTTGATTTGGGTTGGGAGACTTTCCTATGAATGTTCTCAACAGGTAACACCTACATACCTCTTTTTGAAAAGAGTCTGGAAACTTCATTGCATCTATAGTGTCTAGCTAAAGCTAGATGTGGTTAGGTAAGATTCATGTAGTCTTTGTTTCTTCATAAGTATGCAGCACAGTCTGTGATCAATGGAATTCCCTCTGGTTTCTGACACTTATGTATTTGAAACGCTAAATCAAGGTGTGGTTACCTTTGTAGTTCAAATGGGAATATTTCAGTCCTGCAACTAGTGGTCTGAGGTTTCTTTTCTGTTCTAGGTTGACCACTGGAATACAGGAGTGCTTAAGACTCGTTCTACCCCCTCTTTCACAAAAGGTGTGCTGTGATACAGCTGAGCTGACATAACAGCCAGCAGCTTCCAGAAGGGA